GCATGCAAGGCAAGCGCTCTACCACTGAGCCACCTTCCCAGCCCACACTTTCCTGTCTTAGATAGCATCAAACCATGATCCTTGGATATCAAGCCTGCTGAGTAGCTAGGATTACAGTCATATGCCCAGCTCCTAAAGGGAATTTTTTTGTATGTATGTATATATTGCCAGTCCTGGGGGCTTGAACTCAGGGCTTGGGTACTGTTCCTGAGCTCAAGACTCTTATTCTACCATTTGAGCCACAGCACCATTTCTGGCCTTTTCTGTTTATGTGGTACTGAGGCATCAATCCCATGCATGCCAGGCAAGCACTGTATCACTAAACCACATTCCTAGCCTCCTAGAGGGAATTTTTAAGATCTATTTTAGTTGGTTTCCAATTGAGATTCCACAGAGTACTTACTAAGAAAAAGATGTTTGTGACCCTAACTGTATGAATGGAGACTGGGCACTGTACCTGAGCTCTTTTTTGCTCAAGGCTAGTACTCTATCATTTTGAGCCACATGATGCTGCTTCTGTTTTTTTTTTTGTTTGTTTGTTTGTTTTTTGTTTTGTTTTGTTTTTTTTGGTAGGTCATGGGGCCTGAACTCTGGGCCTGGGCACTGTCCCTCAGCTCTTCAGTGCAAGGCTAGCCTTCTACCATTTGAGCCACAGTGCCACTTCTGGCTTTTTCTGCTTATGTGGTGCTGAGGAATTGAACCCAGGGCCTCATGCATGCTCTGGATTCCCTTTTTATCAAGCCAGTTCACATTATTTGCTTCCTTCAGAATTTCATAAAGTGATTGATAGTTTATTAAAGAGGCTGATTTGAGATAAATTATCTGCAGAGAATCCAGATTACTCATGTCCTGTTGTTTTATGTTTTTTTTTTTTTTTTTTTTGTTGTTGGGGCTTTAACTCTGGGCTTGGGCGCTGTCCCTCAGCTCTTCAGCTCAAGGCTAGAGCTCTACCACTTGAGCTACAGCGCCACTTCCGGTTTTCTGGTGGTTTATTGCAGATAAGAGTTTCTCGGACTTTCTTGCCCAGGCTGGCTTTGAACTGCGATTCTCAGATCTCAGCTTCCTGAGTAGCTAGGATTACAGGCGTGAGCCACTGGCGCTCATCTTATGTATTTGTTTTAATAATTGTATACTTACACACAAGGACTTACATGCAAGAACCTGTTTTTGTTTTTCTAGTGAAGGTGGTGTTTTTAAGGCTCATCTCACTTTCCCGAAGGATTATCCTCTCCGGCCACCTAAAATGAAATTTATTACAGAAATCTGGCATCCAAATGGTAAGTTTTTCTTTCACATTTGCATATTTGAAATGTCATTAACAATTTCAAATTTAGTAAGAATGATGTAGTTTTTAGTGAATTGTTCTGGAATTTTCCTTTAACTTTTACAGGGTTTATTATGTAAACATGGCCTTATATTAGCTTCTTTTTTTATTTTTATTTTTGTGCTGGTCCTGGGGCTTAAAACTCAGCCTGGACACTGTTCCTGAGCTTTTTTTTGCTCTCGGATAGTGCTTTACCACTTGAGCTCAGCTCAAGTTAACTGAGGAGAAGAGTTTCAAGAACTTTCCTGCCCCGGGCTCACTTTGAACCATAATCCACAGATCTCAGCCTCCTGGATTATAGTCATGAGTTACTGATACCTCTCAATATTAGCTTCTTTTATTTGGGGGAGCCAGGATGTACTGGGGTTTGAACTTAGGGCTTCAGCCTTTGCTGTGCAGGCACTCTACAATTTGAACTATTCTGTTGGTTACTTTTTGAGATAGGGTCTTAATTTATACCCAAGCTAGCCTGAGTGATGGTACTCCTGTTTGTGCTTTTCCATGTCACTGTAATGATGTGTATGCACCACCATTTCCAGCTGTTGGTTGAGTTGAAGTCTGTGAATTTTTGTTCTAGTTGGTCTTAAATCTTAGTCATTCAATCTTCAACTACCTGAATACCTAGGATTACAGACTTTGAGTAACTCTGCCTTCTGCTTGTATTGACAGGAGCATTGTCAGGGATCACATGGAATAGGTTATTGTGCCGTCTACTACTATTCAATTTGCTTGTATTAGGTATACAGAGGGGAATTTCATTGTTAAAATTCTGCATGTTGGGGCTAGGAAGGTGACTCAGTGGTAGAGTGCGTGCCTTGCCTACATGAGGCCCTGGGTTCAATTCCTCAACACCACATAAGCAGAAAAAGCTGGCAGTGGTGCTATGGCTCAAGTGGTAGAGCACTAGCCTTGAGCTGATTAGCTAAGGGACAGTGCTCAGGCCCTAATCTGAGCAGTAGCCTTGATCTAAGGGAGCTGAGGGACAGCTCTCAGGCCCAGAGTTCAGGCCCATGATCCGACCAAAAAAAAAAAAAATCTGTATGTTCCAAATCTGACTCCTGGCTGAGAAGGTGGCTCAGTGGTAGAGCGCTTGCCTTGCATGCCTGAGGCCCTGGGTTCGATTCCTCAGCACCACATAAGCAAAAAAGAAAAAAG